TCCAAGTGAGAAAAATCTTGGGGAACTCAAGTAATAAGTAGAGAAAATATTTTCACTTTCTAAGTTAAAAAATATTTGAACCTCTTTATTGAAGATAATGTAAGTAGCTTCCAACCATATGAATATTTGGCCTAGATGGAGTTTCTCCTACATTACTTTACTTGTTAGAGAACCTTTGAAATAGGACCATGGCAGTCACATATTGTGTACAATACAGGAATATGCTTCTAGGATCTGTGGCAGGTGTTCATATAGCCTTTACTTACCTGTTTCTGGCAAAGGGAAGGTCATTACCTTTAAAAGAAGTTTGTCCCATTTTTAACACTTTTGAGTACAAATCACTAGAAGGTGTTTTCTTATACTAAGGCAATATTTGTTTCCTGTTCACCTACCAATTCTGATTCTGCTCACTGGAGTAGAATTACATAGTTACTAATAAGGAGCTTTTTTAAAAAAAATTATTTACATTGAGAGAGACAGAGCAGTCAGGAAACCATGAGATCATGACCTCAGCTAAAATCAAGAATAGGATGCTTAACTGACTGAGCCACCCAAACACCCCACGAATATGGAGCTTTTAAAGGTAAGGATAGTATCCATTCCATCTATTTAAAAACTAAACATAATGACAATAGCTTTAATGTAGATGTCATTTAAAAATCCCCATTTTTCTCAAAATTGATACTGGAGCAAATTATTTTAATGCTTTTCTAGTAAACCACATTGTTTCTGACTTCTAGTTTTAGCCCATAGCAACAAATGTCATTATTTTCTCTTTTGTTTTGTTTTGTTTTGTTTTGTTTGTTAGAGAGAGAATGAGAACAGGGGTGAGGGGCAGAGGGGGAGAGACAGAGAATTTTAAGCAGGCTTGACGCTCAGCATGGACCCATGGGGCTCGATCCCAAGACCCTGGGATCATGACCTGAGCTGAAATCAAAAATTGGACACTCAGCCGACTGAGCCACCCAGGTGCCCCTTTACTTTGGTGTTAGGAAAAAAGCAATATGAATGCACTGGTAGTGGGAATGCAAAATGGTGAAGTCACTGTGGAAAACAATATGGATGTTCCTCAAAAAATTAAAAATATAACCATCATATAATCCAGCAATTCCACTTCTGGGTATTTTTCTGAAAAAAAAAAAAAAAAAAAAAAAAAAAAAACACTAATTTGAAAAGATATATGCCCCTCTATGTTCACTGCAACATTACTTACAATAGGCAAGATATGGAAGCAACCTAAGTGCCCATCAACAGAGGAATGAATAAAAAAGATATAGCATATAGTATACACAATGGAATATTACTCAACCATTAAAAAAACGCAATAAAATCTTGCCATTTATAACAACATGAATGGATCTAGAAGTATCACACTAAGTGAAATAAGTTAGATGGAGAAAGACAGATACCATATGATTTCACTTATATGTGGAATCTAAAAAACAAATGAACAAACAAATCAAAATAGAAACTGACTCATAGATACAGAAAACAATCTGGTGGTTGCCAGAGAGAAGAGGGTGGCGGATGGGCAAAATAGGGGAGGGACTAAAAGGTACAAACTTCCAGTTATAAATTAAATGAGAAACAGGGATGCAATGTTCAACATAGGGAATAGTTAATAATATTATAAAACTTTGTATGGCGACAGATGATAGCTAGATTTATCATGATCATTTTATAATGTGTACAAATGTTGAATCACTACGTTGTGCACCTGGAACTAATATAATAGTGTATGTCAACTATACTTCAATTAAAAAAGAAAAAGCAGTAATATGAGGTGTTTGAAAGATAAAGGACAAAACTCTGACCCTCAACTATGGCCTCTCCATTAGTGAGAAATAAATATTTTGTTATATATTTTGATGTAAACCAGAAATCAAGTGTATAGGACACTTCAAAGAATGAAATTAAACTTCAAAAGGCAGTAAACACTTGTATTCATATATTCCCAATGAAGTATAATTAGTCTATTGTGATATTATGAATAGTAAAAGAAAATCATCTCTTTAGAATTATGGTAGCTAGAGATAGTCAGTAGTTACATTTATGCTAAAAATCCAAGTCTGTATACCACCATTTCAATGATATTAAAAACAAAAAAACCCAAATGTATATGGACATGAGGTCAGTTTTCTTTACGGAGCATTACAGAAAAGTCCTAAATTTCCCTTCCTAAATTCATGGACCTATGGACTGAAAAAAAACAAGGACAGCTATTTTATAGACCAAGCCATGTCAAACTCTGATCTCATCTAAGAGAGATGACAAAGCATATGCCCAATATGTGTTGTTGTTATTATTAGTATCAATATTGTCATAATTTTTGCCATGTTGATGATTACTTTCTATTTCTTAAGAGGAAATAGACGTGTGGTGAATTTCATAGCTGTTGATAGTTGCCAAGAAGGGAGTATACAATACATACAATGTTTTCTGCCTTCCCAAGACTAAGGTTGGTGTCTTCCTCTAGAAGGAACATTATATTAGAGGTGCATGAAATGGAAATGCTGAAGAGGTCCAGGCATTGCAAAGCCTATCCCTCTCCATCTTCAATCCACAAGCAGGAATTTTGAAATCAACTGTTTCTGAGTTAGCCAAGTTTGAAGGTTTTGGAATCACCTTTATCACCCTACCTCCAAGCATCAAATTACTATTCTATACTATACAACAAACAAATCCCAATTATGTCTCATTAAGAAATGTATAGTTTCAACAGAGAGCAATCATTACCTGTGGTGGACAACAGGGATACCTCAAAGTAGGCTGAGTCACCTTCTACTTCCCAAAGAGAAGAGAAAAACCAAAGTGTATCAGCTACTTTCAACTGGCTGACCCCTTCAACCTCTTGAAATAACCACTTAGCAAGAAGTATGTAGAAGTCCTTTGTGGATTACAAAGAACCATTTAAGCCCATTTGTGTCTTTCCTCTAATTTATAGTCCCAGGAAAAGATTATAAAAACAAAAAACAAAAAAAAACATTGTTTACATTGCCCAAGGGACTGGCCGAGTCTCAGCTTGCCAGGGCCTGGCTGGCGAGCAGAACCAGAGTCTTCTGCACTAGTGGATCCTCCAATGGCAAGTGAAAGCACTGCTGAGGCTTTACTTGGGGCCAGCTGCCTGGTCTCTCCCAAACCTCTCAACCATGAAGTGCCCACAGTGTTTGCCCCTAAGCAAGAAAGCAGACCCCACCCAAAGAGACCACAAATGAACCCTCACTGAGTTACTACCCCCAGCTGCCCTAAGAATGACAATAAACCTGCCTTATGGGGAGGAAGCATCCCCAGGCTCCTGTGCCAAACATCAGGAAAACATTTGGGTTTGTAGAGGATGCCATGAACGGTTGGCCCTTCGAGCAGCAAGGCAGCCAGACTAGTTTGGTAGCAGGCCATTACCATGGGTCTGATCTTCCCTAATGAGGGAGCTCAAAATATACATGAGGATTTTGACTTTCAAAACTCCATTCTGAAGAATGGTGTCATTACGATACAAACCTAAGACTTTTTATTTAAAATGTAACATTGTCTTCTGTGTTGGGAATAAAGATCAAATATATGCCAAATTGATGAGCTGTATTCTTCTGGATCAGTGGTTCACAAATTTTCTTCCATGAAGCCTGGATATCGGTGCAGAAGACCTAGGTCCCCTACATCCCTTAGGAGGAGACACAGCCCAGATCCTGTCCCCCTGCCTTTCAGAGGGGTTTCGTTTTTGTCTGTTTTATCTATTGGTATATAAGCAAGATTTGGTTTAACAGAAGTTCTACTGTGACAAAAAGCTTATAAAGAATTCAGGTACATTTTAAGTTCCTGTAAGCTTGTTTTGCCCACTCTTTTAGTTGTAGAGCCAGGAAAAGTGTGTCCAAATCAAAACAAAACAAAATAAAACTAAACCAAAACCTACTTGCCAAGTAAAGAGGTCTAATTGATTTGCAAATATCAAAAGAAATTTGATTCACCATATGCCTTCTGGGCAATTAGAATCACATGAAAGATAGACATTTAGTTCATTCTGTCTCTGTGTAGTAGTTATTCTATAAGAAAACAGAATTGATTGTTCTGGTCTCTCTATGGTGATAGGACAGGAAGCCCTGTAACACTTATATTGTTATCATTTCCAACTTCCAAGGCTTCTGGATGCAGTTAATACCAAAGCTGTTTCTTGACAGACCATATAAGATCCTGGAAAAGAATACTCAGAGAAAGTGAACCAATATTTATTTAGGACCTGCTGTATGTCAGGTGGTGTTCTAAGCACTTTTAGTACATTTTTTCATGTAATCCTCAAAGAACCTTATAAGGAATATATTAAACCTGCTTTACAAATGGGTAAACTGGGCCCCGGGAGGCTTCAGTTGACTTGTCCATAGTTACACAACAGATCTCCTGGGCTCTCTGAGGCACTTGAACTTTGCAGGGAATAGATCTGAGTTTGGGTCCTGGCTCTGCCCCTTACAGCATGAATGACCTTAAGCAAGTCATCCCCACTCTGAGTCTCAGTTTCCTCATCAGTAAAATGAGGAGCACTTTGATACTCAATTTGATGTTACAGTGGAAGCAGTTAAGCAAAGGGGTAAACACTTGAGCCATCCTATGCATAAAAACTATGCAAATTTGCTAAAAGGATGAAGAAAACTTAAAACATGATCTTCCTTTAATTAATATTCCCAGCAGCCTCCAAACTAAGGGAATACATAAGGAAAGACTGGCTTTGGACATAGATAAGATCCTGACTACAGGTTTCTGAGAACTTGAGAATTAACAAAAATAAAGTGAATGGTGTGTGAGTTAGTGATAAGGAGTGTAGTGCAGAGTCCAAAGACACACCGGGATCCACAAGAATCTGTGGGGTGAGGAATTGTTGGAGAAACTTCCCGAAGAGGTTGAGATGTGTAGGTTGACCAGGTGTGGGGAGAGGAGAGGCTCCAGGGGCTGGGTGGGACTGTGAAGATACAGATTCCCCTCTAAAGCCAGGCCACTCTGTTTGATTTGTACAGACAAGCCCACGGGGTATGGCTCCAGCAGTCGGAGGGCACCTCAGACAGGCATTGTGGATGAGTGCTGCTTCCGGAGCTGTGATCTGAGGCGGCTAGAGATGTACTGTGCACCCCTCAAGCCTGCCAAGTCTGCCCGCTCAGTCCGTGCCCAGCGCCATACTGACATGCCGAAGGCTCAGAAGGTAAGCCAGCTGGTGGGGAGGGATCCAACATCCTCAAGAGACTGAAGTATCTTATGCCTGTGGGTAGGCCAAACAGAAACTATGTTCCATAGTCTCCTGGTTTACAGGTCAAAAAAGCACCATTCTCCCCTCAGATGTCCATCCCTCTGGTCACTCCACATTGCACATTCACTGCTCTGGATGATCTGATACCAGAAGACAATGGAGAACAGTCACTAAATGTGAGCTTTGGTATCAGATAAAACTAAAGTCTTAGCTTCACCAGCCATCACCTGAGAGCCTTGGTCAAATAACATAGCCTATTCAAGCCTTAGTTTCATCAATAAAACTGAGATAATACCTACTTCATCAAGCCATTTTAAGAATTAATAAATACACATGCAATTCTTTTCACATCCTGTACAAAGTAACTGTTGGACAAGTGTTAATGTCTGTCATAATTATAATTAATAATAGAGCACATAACTTTTCAAGTCCTGGTATTCTGCAAAGGTGCAAAGAAAAAAATGTGTTAAAATGGGAAGTATTTGAAATTCACATTCAAATGCAAACTTGATTAAATATGTTAAAAATAGAAATTTCTGTTTGGGTCTCAGAACACCTAGAAATTTCTAATGATCAAAATCTGTAGGTGTCTTTTTCTATGAACTAGAATTCAGACAAACCTCAGAGGTACTATCTATGCCCTCCAACGTACATAAATCATCTGATACACGTTAGTCACTTGATAAATTTTGTTGAATAGGTGAATAAATGAGTAGAAATGATTAAATTTTAGTAACTAAGTAGAAAGAATGAGAACTAAAGAGTATGTTGTAGGTGAGGGAGAAAAACAGAAAGCAAGGATGGGTGAGTAAGGAAAGAAAAGCTTTCATTAAGGTATCCTTGGGGGCACTGTTTAAAAAACAAAAAACAAAAAAACTGTGGTTTTATTCTTTGCAGCCCAAACTAGCATTGTGCAGAAAGCAGAAGAGAAACCAAGAAGTTCACAATGACATATTTGCTGGTTCCTGGTCCTTAACTGCAGCTGAGCCTGGAGAAGGACCAGGGAGCTTAGCAGAGATATGACCCCAGGGAGCTACTTTGAGTGATGGAAAGGGACTGGGCACAATCTGGTTCAGAGAGAGCACAGTAGCCAATGGGTGAGTCAGGGAGCAAGCACCATAGAAGTAATTCAGGTGAATGTGGCTAAGTGTGCTTGATGGGACAAACACAGGTTGATTCTTTCTCTTCCTAGGTGACCCAGTGCCTCTCAATTTCTAGCTGGGGTGGGGGTGTGGGTCAGAGATGCGTCCTAAAGTTCTAGAAGGTTGGGTCTTGTGACTGAGGCACAGACATCCCTCCAGCACCAATGCTGTCTCCTATACCACATGGAGCCTGGGCATTCTGGGCTGTCTCAAAGGCTCTGTCTTCTGGGACACAAAGGGAACCACCTGTTCTCAATGCAATTATTTTTGTGATGTTTACAGTATCATCCCCCATCTACCACCAAGAAAATGAAGTCTCAGAGAAGGAAAGGTGGGCCAAAGAAACGCCCAGGAAGGGAGCAGAAGGTGGGGACGGAAGCAAGTCAGCAGATGAAAGGAAAGAAGAAAGAGCAGAGAAGGGAGACTGGAGCTAGAAACTGAACACAGAGGCAAAAAAAGAAAATGGAGGAGAGAAGGACTAAGCAGACAGAGGCAAGGACGATGAGAGAGAAGCAGACAGCGATAAATCAAAGTGGGAAGTGCTATAGAGGAATGAAGAACAGTAGGCCTGGTGGAGCTAGATAATGAATGTGATGGAAGGAAGAGAAGTAACCTGTTGTAGAATGTGGATAACAAACATGGAGACAATGGAAAAGAAAAACATAATGCCCGAGGAAGTCCAAAGAAAGACAGTGTCAAGATTGAAAAAAGAACAAAAATTGTAAAAGAGGCAAATAAGCCACTACATTCCCTTTACTCCAAAAACAACTAAATGAGAGTTAATGAATTAAGATAAAAAGTAAAGGCTTTTATATGTATTTTAAAATTTTGTGTGAAACTATTATAGAAGAATTGCCCATGTCAATATATGTCAAGTTAAATATTAGCCCAAAATTCTCAGCAAGACTGAATTGTGTCATAGAAGTTCCCAGATTTCCTTTCCTGCAGTGTCATTGGAGGCTGTGTTTCTTAGTTAAGTCCAGGTTCAGGCCAAAGGGCATCCAGTATTTGCCTAAAGGCCTATGAGGCCTGTGGGGTAACCTCCAAGAGGAGGTCATTGAACCTTTCCTTTTTATGCACTTTGGAATCAGATATAAAAGATGTATTGGTCTGCTTGGGCTGCCATAACAATGCACCACAGACTTGCTGGCTTAAGCAACAGAAATTTTCACACATTTCTGGAAGCTGAAAGTCCAGATGAAGGTGTTGACCTCATTTTAACTAAATTACCTCTGTAAATACACTGTCTCCAAATAGGACACAGTTTAGGTACTGGGAGTCAGGATTAAACATATGAATGGCTGAGGAGAGACACAATTCAGCCCAGAACAGGGGTGCCTGGGTGGCTCAGTCGGTGAAGCATCCGACTTTGGCTCAGGTCATGATCTCACAGTTTGTGGGTTCAAGCCCCAAGTTGGGCTCTGTGCTGACAGCTAGCTCAGAGCCTGGAGCCTGTTTCTGATTCTGTGTCTCCCTCTCTCTCTGACCCTCCCCTGCTCACACCGTCTCTCTCTCTCTCAGAAATAAATAAAAAACATTAAAAATTTTTATAAAAAAGAAATTCAGCCCAGAACAGAAGACTTCTGATGTATGATAATGATAACTGTCTTCTGATTCTATCTCCTATAAACCTATATGTATGTATGTATGTCACACACACACACATGTACAAGTCTAAGTTTTCATATATGAAATCCTATGAGTTTCTGTTCCATGGAAACCCTAGGACCATGTTGCTTTAAAGCTGAAGTTCGTTGGTTCAATCCCTTCATTGTAAAGACAAGGATATGGAGATCCACAAAAGGGTAAAGACATGCTTGAGTTCTAAGCTGCCCTCCTGGCCAGCAGAAGAGCACATAATCAACATGGACTAAGAAAGAATTCCAAAAGGAAAAGATGGGGCAGAAATAGGCAGATGAAATCTTCCATTAACTTAATATTTTTCCACCAGAAGGAAGAATATGAATGAGAGCAAGGGGTTGGATTTCCCTGAGGGTAAAAAGAGCTAAGTAGAATCACAGAATTTAGGTCTTGTAAATCTTCTCCTTCAGCTTCTTTGATTTAATTAGTAAGGTTAGAGTCTTAATAGACATAAAGCAAAAAGTCTCCAAATCATCCACATTGTGAATTATAAGAGCTGAAAGAGGGTATAAGAGAGAAGTGGTCAGTCAAGCAAATAATGAGACTTTGGGTAAGAAGATGAATAAACCAAGAAGTGAAGCATTTCATCCAAATAACCTACTTTGAAGATGTTATGGTATAAAGGAATCTTTCTGCCTGGTCCTTCATGCCTCTGCTGTATTTCTGCTTCAGGATCATTCTTCCTCTATGGTCCAGTGAAAACCCAGGATTATATAATAACATAACATAACATAACATAACATAACATAACATAATGAAACATATAAGGCCATGCCCAAGACTTAGACCTGGAGGAATATGTCTAGTCAGAAGCATGTCGAAGCCCCAAATGGGAGCCAAGCCACTGCTGTGGTTACCAAAGGCTGGCTTATCTGAAATGACAAAAGCTAGGCTAGTGCCTAAGCCTGTCTAGCCAGCCACCTTATTCAGAAGATGCTGAGTTTTTCTGCTAAGACATCCATGCTTTGGGACCAGCCTCAGGCATAAGCCAGTATTTACTGTAACTACCACCTGAGAGTAGCCTGCAAACACAGATGGCTCTTCAAGTTCCTCAGAGGAATTAATGATGTGTGTCCTATGGAAAGGTTCCTTAGAGATTTTCTCTTCCCTATTTCACTGTTGACTGAGTAAATGTCAATTATGACTCAAGGCTTTGGATAAGCTATAATTATTTTCTATGATGAACTTCATTCAAAAGAAGCAAGGCAGAGACTTTAAAAGAAAAAAAAGGAATAGAACTTTCTAGTTAAAGAATGCTTAACTCATACTATGGCTTAAAACACACTTATTTTTAGAATGGTTTTTGTCAACTCTAAAGCAGTCATCTTGAATGCCTAACATGATTTCTGAGCAATATGAACTAAGTAAACAGGAAGCATCTATTATTGTCTTTCCATCTCCTCCTTTCTAGTATCAATACTAAGCACCTAGTGATACATGGCATATAATGCTAGATGGATGGATGGATGAAATAGACGGACAAATAGATATAGGCAGCTTAATAGTGGCAGAGAAAGATAATACCATAAAAATAAGAGGCATTGCTGAGATGAAATGATACCTCTCGTCTTTGCATAAGATAGTAGGACAAGGGCAGAGTAAAAAAAAGGAGAGCAAAGGAGTTGCACTGACCTAAGTCTTGCCTGTTTGAAACTTCCCTCTATAGCTTAAATTGAAATTGTTCAAGGACCTATCACTAACAGCTGAGTAGTACTTTATAGTGAATGTTTTGTACCTATTGCTCTCCTTGCCGCTTTCTTAAAGTAGACAAAGTATTAATCATCATTTAAAATTCTATTGTTTCTCTTAGGGCAAACTGACTGTGTATAAAACTAATGGGGAGATGTAAGGAATCATGATCCTGAAATAAATTTGTTGAAAAATATTTTTATTGAGCACCTACAATGTGCCAACCCTGTACTAGGCATGAAGGAGAGTTGTAAAGATTGAAGACGCAATAAAACATAGTAGTTAAGAATACTTGATTGAGAACCCTGCCTGGGTTCAAATCCTGATTCTCACTTACTGGTGGTGTGGCTTTGAGAAAATCATGTCATTTACCTGTGTCTTATTTTACTCATCTGTCAAATGATGGTACTGATTGAATCTATATCCTACAGTTGTGAGAATTTATTGAGACTATATATTTATATATATATAAATGTGTATGTG